CCTATAATACACATGTGAAACAAGTCGAACTTTGGACTCAGTCTGCCATGGGATTGTAAGATTATAGGTCAAGCACACGAAGGATAAGAAGCATGAATTATCAATTATCACTTATGCTGTGTTCATTATGTCTATTTCATCCAACACCCCACCGTAATTTTTCCATTTAGTAAAAGCAAACATTTTTCCGATTTTAGCAAAAACATGAATATTCATGAACGGTCAGACAATACAGCCTGTCAGTACGTAACGTATAGTGAATGGGAATGGGCAATGATCCGTCCAGGAGGTAGAGGCCAGTGTTTTGTGCTGGCAATATTCACGCGAGCGAAAATGAGACAATCGGAGCAATATGTTCTCCGTTCACGTTGAGCTTGCGAAAACTCCCTATTAAGTCGCTGACTACTGCTACTAATCAAGTACATTTGTTTACGTGCAGTCGTCCAGAAGGAGACGTAGTTGGTGTTTCCCTGTATTAGTCAGTTTACACCCCCTTCAACATTGACTTTTATTTCGTGTTAACTCTTACTTTTCAAATATATCCATGTGTATTTCCCAATGCTTTGGATTAAAAGACAAGAGAAATGAAAGTTGGAATATGTGAAAATATGCATGACGACAACATGGTGAGAGGGTACAGAACAGAGCAGAATATGATATTAGGCAAAACTCAAACTTTATTTGATGGCTATTCTACACTGCACTGTAAAAAAGAATTTGTTCATTGGTAATTTTTACGTATTTTTTCCATGTAGAATTTACTTGAAAACATTAGTTTTGCCACTTACGCACTAAATTTAAGTCTTGCTAACTCAAACTTTCAATTTAGTAGAACATACGTGAAATATTTAAGTAAAATCAAATACATAAAAACTTTAAGTAATTTCAGCTTGTATTAATTTAGTAATTTTAACTCAAAATCAGAAATTATACGTATTACTCAAACAATTTATGTTGATTATTCTTATCTTTTTAAAGTAACGACCGATGCAGTGCGTAATAGAAATATTTACATAATTTATGAATATTCATTAAGACCAAATTAAACTCTTTTTAAAATAAAACAATTCTTTTTTGTGGTTGAATGAAAATTTAAGGACTTTAAAACATTTACTAATTCATTTAAAATGGCTAAGCAAAGACAAGACAATTTTTAATTGTTACCCAGTTCAAAACAAATAAAAACTTGATATTTCAGGAAATTGTCAACCAATTTTCCTTTTAAGATGCTACGATCAAGTATATATACAATTTGGAGCCTTTCAATATGTGTCGAATTGAAGCGTATGTAATAGTTTGTGATGGTGGTAGATATATATATACGGTTAAATCTTAAATAGAAGTAGTGAATGATTAGTGGATGTTACTTGTTAGATTAGATGGGTACCAAATCGTGCAATATGTGATCCCTATCATAGCTTTTTTTTAATTATCTAAAATGATTACAATACTTAAATTATTTACGTTAATGTAACTCGATTTAACTGAGTAAAAATTTATTCAGCAAAATAAGTAAATTCTACTTAAGATGCCGTAGGTAATATTTACTTAATAAAAATAAGACAATTCTTTTCCTCAATTTTATTGAGTTATTTCGACTATTATTTTTTTACAGTGTGTTACAAACATATAAAATTGAATAAAGATTACTGTAAGAAGTATGTATTCAAGAGAATCTTGAAGATTTTCAGGGTAGAGCATCCCGAATGTCCTGTGGCAGATTGTTCTAGGGAGTTACGCAGAAAGTTGCTTAGCGATTGCGTCAACGTTGATCGCTTCAGTGTTTTATTTTCGAATCCCTATGTATGTACTTGTAACCAATTAACCTTTTGAGAAAGCGGATGTTAAGCCGGTTATTTCGGTTTCCTGTTGGAAAGATATTACGTGGTCCCACCCACCCAAAATAAATAACGTTAAATCTCTCTGTACTACGAGATAGACTCTGACTCCTACTTGAAATCCTTTATTGTGTTTGAATTCGTTTTCAAAAGATTTAAACAAGGGCTTAAAAGGTTTTCTTACCTTCACAAAACTCACCTTTTACTGTGTTAAATGAAAAATTTGATCTTTTGCATTTTTCTTTTGTTTTTGTGTTTCTTACATAGAATGACTAGGGGCAGCGGCGTAGCCGTTGGGGGGGGGGGGGGGGTGCTTCAAATTACTGTTATAAAAGAGTGCCAAAAAGGCAAAATGAAATGATATAATTCTGAGTAACCGTATATAAGCTCTGTAATTAGAATGCCTACTTTAAACAATTATCTAAAAATGTAAATGTTAACTTTTTGCGGACTCTAAATTCCATTACATTCCGGTAATAAAAAAATACTATGTACCTGTTTTTTCCCTTTCCAGGAGAAAAGTTGGGAACTCCTGAGCTCCTTTATAGAAAACAATCCGGGCTATGCCGCTTATATGCTTGTCACACATATCATAGACATAGGGGAATAGAAAGTTTTTTTCTTTTTTCTTTGGATGAATTCATGAAGAATTGTCTTTGCCTTAAAGATACTATGTCCCATTTGCAGGTCAAAAAAATGAAAAAGTTAAATTCCAACTGCATTTGAAAGATAATACTAATTTAGAACTTCCCTAAAAAAGGTGGGGCTTGAAAATGTCTTCAAGTGGGAAAATAACAACTATTCGTTGTCAAATCGACTTTAGGGCTATAGAGCCCAAAAGTAATAGTCTTGATTTTCAGACAATTGTACCGAATGGTCATACGTTTAATGCTGCGCAAAGATTCAATCAGTTTAATCTTGGCCATCACAAGAAGTAGGTTATTGATGTAGACAAATGCTCATGTACCCTTTACAACTCTTTTCATGTATGTTATTACCAAAGAAGAAAAAAGCCAGTCAGTCACTCAATAGTGTCTGACAGTAGATTCTAGCAAGTAAATGGGTTTCCTTGCATAATTTGAATATGAGGACACTGCTAACGTTTAAATTTCACAGATAGGACATACATGACATATTTATAATTCCTGCAAAGTTCTACAGAATTAGAGGTTGGCTGCAAAAGGGACATAGTACCTTTAATATCCGAAACAATTTCATATTAACTAATTTGTGTTAGCCCCCCCCCCCCTGCCTTAAAAGAAAAAGGAAGTCGCTATATTCCTGAAACCACAGGCTTCGGTTTAGTCAACGGGTTTAGTCAACAGTGACGAGTTTCTCAGTACTTTCCATTTCAGCGTGCATACTTGTTTATTACATTTTTAACCAAAATTGAATAAAGCTGCCATTATGGACGCACAGCAAAGTCTGATGGAAGAGCAAAACGCGACCGTTGAAACCTATTGCCATGGGATCGATGAATTTCTGGTAAAATTCAAAGAAAGTCGAGATTTAGAGGCTTTAACCACCATCGATGAATGGAACGTACTCGGCATGTAAATCTGAAAACTGGGGACGCCAAATCGGCTATTATCAAATACTTGGTCTCTCATGATGAAATCTTTGATATATTTACGCTATTTTGGAAGAGCCTTGTGAAAGGAAAATTCTCAATTTTTCTCAAGTTGAAGAAGAAGAAGAAGTTGTTGGCTCTGTTGAATATTATTGGCAATCTAACTGATTGTTCGGATGAGTTCAACTATGCCTTTGGTAATAAGGGACTCCTAACTTTGCTCTTTCGCGATCTCAAGACGAGAAATCTCGGCGACAGCCTTATCTGTTACGCACTTAAGATCATCTACAACAGTTGTTGGAGAGTTCCCGAGAACAGAGTGATATGTCGAGAGTTCGTTGATACCCTCCAGGAGTATTCACAATCGAGGAGCCCTGAGATTCAGGCCATTGCCTTCTTGGCGCTTTCCTACATCGTCGACAAATCAGAAGTTCATAAGATATCCCTGAATGAACCGTGTCTGAAATTCCTCCTACACGCTCTATGCCTCAGTCACACCTTTGCGTATTGGGCTTGCGTATTGCTGCGTATTGCCCGAACGCAGACATAGGCAGTCATACCCAATAAAGCGCAACAAAACGTGCTCACTGCGTACTCAATACGCAGACTAGCGCAAAGTCCTGCGTTTGCCACTCGCTAGTTTTAAAAATTTCTAAACTATCGCAAGCAAACGCAAGGTCAAATCACCTACGAGCAGATACGAGTGGCAACCAGTGAATGCGAGCAACAGCGAGTGGCTTAGCGCAAGTATATGCAACCATATGCACCTCTTTTTTTTTGAGCGCGTGTCACTGCCTATAGCTGCGTTCCCTGCACGATTTACCTCGCCAGAGCTCGTTGTCGTTCGCATGATTGCGCGTATTGTTGCGCTGTTGCTCGCCTACCACTCGCAGCAGCAAGAACTGTTGCAATTGCCGCTCGCTACGCTGCGAGTCTAGCTCGTACGCCGTTCGCTTTAGCTCTCTCGCTCACTGCGATTAGTTGCCTAGCACCTACCACCTTTGCTGCGCTTCATAACATTAATAAATAAACATCATTCGCCTCTGCTTCTTCCAGCTGAACCGAAAGCTTAAGCTTTTGCAAGGCAGAGCTCTGCTGCTGGGCCATTTTTTTCATTGATTTTTTTTGTAGATGTAGACTCGTCAGAAGCCCGCAAAATGACTTTTATTTATACGCCGTCGTAGCCCAAGCGAGCTGGTACGCTGTAGAGCGAGCTGGCACGCAGCAGTACGAACAACAGACGAGCTAAATCGAGCGAACACGCAGTGAGACGCAACAAGACGTACTGGTGCGAGCGGCTAGCGAGCAGCAAACGAGCAAAGAACCAGTTACATACGCAACGTGGCGAGCAAACTGCGTATTGAGTCGTATTGCTATGAGCAACAGCGAGCTATAGCGTGATCAAAGGCAACCGTAGGCAGTCTTAGTACGAGCGGCATACGAGCTTCCTACGAGCTAGATACGCAATAGTGTGACTGCTACCTTCAAATTTGCCGCGTATTGCTGGGAACGGCTGCGTATTGATATACCCCGTACAGCGCAGCAATACGCAGCATCATACGCAAAGGTGTGACTGAGGCATTAGGTCGGCCATGAATGAACCAGATGACCGATCTCGGGTCTACTTCTACTCGACATTCGAGGTCCTTCAAGGACTCAACCAGCTGGCCATCAACGACTGCAATAAGATTCTCATCGTAAAACTTGGTTGGATAGACGTCCTGGAGCGAATCTTGGTGGACGAAGGATCGAGCAACGAAGAAAAGCTTTGGGCTGCCCGTGGAATATGGCAACTTGCTTTCAAAGAAGAGAACAAAGTCAAGATACGTCAACGCACAACACTCCACAACAGTAAGTGGATGCTTACAATTCAAAAAATTATATGACATGTACTAAGACAAAGGTTGCTCCGTACTCAATATATTACAATAATCGAATTATTAAGTTCAGCCCTAGACCAAACACTAAACCTCGCCCTAAACGAAAACCTACCTGCATTTGCACTGCAACCAACAATAGTCGATTTTTCTTACCATTAAGTTTGCATAGCAACTACCGGTAAACACTACAAAAAATAAAAAATTGAACAATTTACCTCTGAATTCAGGATTCGAATTAATTTCACAGGTTTTGTTGCATTGTAAATGGAAACTTCGGTAAGATACCGAATTTTGCTCACATGACTCTCCTCGCTACCGTTCTTAAGCGCATGCAGGGCACTGATAAGTGGCGCATGAGCCTTACTCACCCAATACTCGGTACGGTTAAACTTCGCCGGCTTTTTTATGGGTTTTTCCAGTGATGTACATGGTAGTCCCCCCCCCCCCCTCAACAACAACAAAAATCTACGATTTTTTCAAAATAGTTTTTGGGATGTGTAAATGGGCATCCCGTCTAAAAGCCGAAATGAATTCCTAACCAGAACTTCAAACCTTTGACGAAATAGTGCGCCCGGGGCAAAAGTTATGAATGTTTATGTCAGGGGACAGAACTTATATAAGTATGGTTTAGCTCTTTTTCTTCTTCATTTTGATTACAATCATTCTGTCAAAATGATTAGCGTGGCCTTAAAATACATTTTAAGATAAAACGAGCAATCAAAGATATAAATGGACATCATTGTTCACTCACTGTCCCCTATCTTATACACACAAATACGCTCTCATGTCTCTTTCTGTTTCTTACTTCTCGTTTTATGCTTCTGTTTCCCTTAGCTTTTTGTCATTTTGTTTGAAGTCTACCTATTTTTTTGTATATCAACCTCAAGTTTACATGGACGAGTAATTTCAAGAAAAGTAGATATGTCTACACGACATTAGTGTAAAATGATTCATTCATTCTTAATGTCAATTATGAAATGATTGCTGTGTTTTTCCTACATTATAATGGATAGCGCTGAAGAAGATTAAGGAAACGACTAAAGATTCTGATGTAAAGGAAGCCTGCTCGGGCGCACTCTTCGTCATCAATGAAGTGTTCGACATCGATGACGAGTTCAAAGGTCACATGGTGAAGAGTGAGGTATCGTCTGGTCATGTGGAGGGTCATATTATGATTAGCTACCAGCATGCGAGCCAGGAGCGAATGCTGCAAGTCAAGAGCTATCTGGAAGAATCTGGATACAACATATGGATGGATGTGGACAAAATGAGTAGGAATTATCATACCTTTCCTCCTTTGATCATCATCCATTCTTCTTTTTCCACCTTTGTTTCTTCCTTTCATTCATTTTTATTGTTTGTAGCGTGGGTCTAACCATTAAATGAAGGAATGATGGCAGTGGTTTAATGGAAAGGGAGGTACCACGGACCTATTATTTGTAGGTGGGTGACATTCAAAATAACGAGAACTTTATGAAGGGGGACGGTCTGTGAGGGGGATATCATCTTCATTTCACGCTCTTACTCTCCTTTCATCATTAGATGGACATGTAGGTCATTGTTTCTCAACCACTGCATGTTAGTTATTTCATTTTTATATTAAAGAAACCATGCACATGTCTGTCTTTTACCTCTTCGTTTTGTGTGCCTACATCCATTCTTCTTTCATGTCTTTGGTTTTTAATGATAACAGAAGGTGACATACTGGATTCCATGGCCAAGGCAGTCCAGAGAGCTTCAGTCGTACTGGTTTGCATGAGTCGTAAATTCAAAGAGAGTCAACACTGCCGCACAGGTGAGAAAAAAAATGAAAAACGCATTTCTGCGGTAAGTGGCGTAGCAAGGTCCGGCCATGGAGAGGCAGTCTTGTTTATACTAAGGGGCGGAAAGGGGCACTGGTCCAACTAGGAAGATAAATTTCAGAAGGGTAAGGCCATCTAATGTGGGAAAGGGGTTTCGGTCGTCCGTTACATCATCTCTTCATGTAACTACCTATAGTGGCCACCCCCTTCTTTTTGCTGCCAGTGTCTCTCTTTCTTTATTTTTTCTTTTTGCCATTCGGAAAGGGATTCTCTTTGTGGGAAGCTTGAAACAGATGGGGGAGGGTAAGCTTGAGCCTTCCAAGTTCCCCCTCCCAATCTGGATCCTGTATTTTACCTTGACTCTGCTGTTTCTTTTGTTTGATTTTATACGTATATTTATCAGAAGCGACATACGCCTACACCCTAAAGAAAGACATAATTCCCCTGATGCTTCAAGATCAATTCACCCCAGAGGACTGGCTCGGTGCCCTCATGGGGATGAAGAAGTATTACCCTATGTTTTCAGACGATCTCATGAGACAGTGCCTCCCCGATCTGGTCTCTGAGCTAAGCGATAGAGGCAAACGTGAGAAACTAGATCTGACTTTGCCGTTGCTTTATAAAGTCACAGGTAAGCCATCTTTGAGAACTCTTCTGTATTCGTCGTAACAGCAGTGCTTTTTATACGTTTTCTGTAATTACTGATTAGAAAAAATAATATCTACTTTGTAGGTATTTGTATTTCTTCACAGAAAGAGAATGGTCTAAGAATCTAAACGGTCTTTTCTAATATCGATAAAACATTTAAACACTGATTTTCGTTCCCCATCTACATAATAAAAACGGGTCTAAATCACATAAGTGAAACGGATTTTGCATGAGTTTCTCTGGTCAATCCTTACATATAAAACTCTATAACTCTTCACGACCGTCTAGGTGCAAGCAATCTAACAACCCATGTACCACCGGAAAACGACGTAGACTGCAGTGGAGGAATCAAAGATGACAAACCAACAGGCAATGAAGACGAGAGGAATTCCCACTCGCAAAAAGTGGTAGATTTGGTCCCGTGGGATGAAGATGTAGGAGAATGGTTGAGATCGCATGGAATTGATATGAGCAAGGACATCTTCAAGAAAGTGGAAGGCATCCGCCTGAAGCAGATCAAGAAACTACTAAACCTGGCTCCAGAATTTTGCCTGACGTCTCTGAAAGACGAATTGTGTCTTAGCTTGCGGGACGTCCTCTCGCTAGTAGATGCGTTGGAGAAGCTCTCAATTTGAAGAATCAGTCATGCAAATAGGAGATGTAGGATTACAAAGAGAGTGGCGGGGCAAGGAAGTGATATTTTCAAAGCAACGAAAACAGGGACAGAATAACGTTTAACAGAATCTCTGATAAATTGATGCATTTGTCTGAACATTAATCAGTGCTAATTTGATAGACATTTTATTTATCTAATGGGATGGTATGAGAGATGATATCCCCACCTAAAACAAGACAAAGAGAGAGAGAGAGAGAGAATACGGAGGAAGGAAGATGAAGGTTCACATTCTGTACCAAAAGGATTTGTTAACATAACCCCCTCGTGTCTTCAATAATAGCATGGGATCAGTTGGACAGATCATTTAAAAAAAAACATGTCCATGCACCTCAGACACTTCAGTAATGTCCGTTCCCAATAAAAGAGAATGCCGAGGGGTTTCTATTCCGTCTCGTGATTGAATTTTGACTGTTATTTCTCATTAGTATATTCCAACGTATTTCTCCCGTATGAATCACACCATTGGTTTATGATGCGTTCACATTTAGATTTAGCTGTATGTCCAGGGGGTGTTTCACAAAGATCCTAAGTCGAACCTAACTCTAAGTTAGACTTAACATCTATGGAGAGCCATTTGTAGCCTTAAGATGGAATATATTCAAAAGCGAAAAATAAATTACTTTAGACTTTCTATAAATTCCATTTCAAGAACATGAAATCTTCTTGATAATAGAAAATATGAATGATTTGAATCAACATTTTATGCCTTGTAAAACTTTTACAAAATATTTTTCAAAGATTCTAACGGCTTTCCATCATTGTTAAGTCAAACTTAGAGATTAGTTCAACTTAGGATCTTTGTGAAACACCCCCAGTACTCATATCCATCCTCGTATTTGATCGACCTTGCTTCATGGTTCTCATAATGAAGGATGGCATGAAGTTTTCAAGTTGAATGAATGACGTCATTCATTATCAGCATGAAACATATGTGATATTTTTAATTGTTCACTATAGTTTGTATATTCAAATGCCATATTAATGCAAATTAACGCGTATTACCTTACAAGGAATTCAATCTTTCTAGATATGTACACAATTTTAATACTTCTATCTTTTTTCAGCTAAAAATTGTCTTTCTACTTTCTTTATTAGGCTATGTAATTCAATAGTATCATTACGAGGATATCCAATAATATGTATACATAATATACTTATTTCCTTCTGTTTTGTTTGTTTTATGACTGTGATAAGTTAATATTCATAGATGTTACTTAATTTTGCTGTTACTAAACAGGCCTCATGTGTACTTCCCAATGTTTAGGATTAAAAGACAAGTGAAATAAAAGTTGGAATATTTGCCTATATTCCCCAATCCCTAAGTTTTGGGACGAAAATCAACCACTTTTTTTTTGGTAATAAATTGTTAACAATAATATAATAGTAGTAATAAGTTTATTATTATGTAATGCATTATCCTCAAAATGTCTCTATGCGCTTTACATAGTATGGCAGAATTTTAAGAGATAGTTACAATCGCAAATTATTTAGATGTAGTATACTACAGATTCAAGGAAAAATGCAAATTTACCAAAAAATAAGCAACAAAAAAATAACAAAATTTCATTTATTTATAGCTCCATACAAATAACAAAATGAATAATTAAAGATAATATATGACGACAACAAAGTGAGAGGCTACAGAACAGAGCAAATTATGATAAGGCAAATCAAACATTATTTGATGGATATTCTACACTATTACAAACATATACAAATTGAATTTAGATTACTGGAAGAGTTGTGTTTTCAAGAGACTCTTGGGTATATTCAGAGTATAAGCATCCCGAATGTCCTGTGGCAGATTGTTCTAGGGAGTTACGCAGAAAGTTGCTTAGCGATTGTGTCAACGTTGATCGCTTCAGTGTTTTATTTTCGAATCTCTATGTACTTCTAACCAATTAACCTTTTGAGAAAGCGGATGTTAAGCCGGTAATTTCAGTTTCCTGTTGGAAAGATATGACGTGGTCCCACCTACCCAAAATAAATAACGATAAATCGCTCTGTACTAGAAGATAGACTCTGACTCCTACTTGAAACCCTTTATTATGTTTGAATTCGTATTCAGAAGATTCAAATAAGTGCTTGAAAAGGCATTCTTTTTGAAAGATTTTAGGTTCGGCTCCCACCTTCCTATTCACCTTTTACTGTGTTAAAATGAAAAATTTGATCTTTTGCATTTTTCTTTTGTTTTTGTGTTTCCTAAATAGAATGACTAGGGGCAGCGGTGTTGCACTTGAGAGGGGGGGGGGGGTGGCTCGAAATTACCCATATAAAAGAGTGCAAAAATGCAGAAGGAAATTACATTATGTTTAGAAACCTTATGTTAGCTCTGTAATGCATTAGCATGCCTATTTTAAACAATTATTTCAAAATGTAAATGTTATCTATTTCGGACTCTAAATTCCATTACATGATGGTATAGAAATTAAATGCCCTTTACCTTTCTAGGAGAAAAGTTGGGAACTCCTGAACTCCTTTATAGAAAACAATCTGGGCTATATCCCTGTCATAATATGCTTGTCATACATGTCATAGACATAGGGGAATAGATACAAATTAATGTATTTTCTATGGATGAGTTCATGAAGTATTTTCTTTGCCTTAATAATCGAAACACTTTCGTATTAATTAATTTGTGTTGCCCCCCCCCTCCCCCCTGCCTTAAAAGTAAAAAGAAAAGTTGCTATATTCCTGAAACCCCAGGCACCGGTTTAGTCAATGGGCGAGTAGGACCGGGCTTTGTCAAACTGCGCATCACGAATTTTCCCAGTAGTACTTTCAGCGTCCAGTGTAATATGTATAGGTATAGGATATTATTAATCAAAACTGAATGAAGCTGCCACCATGGACGCACAGCAAAACCTGACGGTAAAGCAAAAGGCGATGGTCGAAGCTCATTGCCATGGGATCGATGAATTTCTGGCAAAATTCAAAGAAAGTCAAAAATTAGAGGCTGTTACCTTCATCGATGATCGGAACATACTCGGCATGATCTACCATCTGAAAACTGGGGACGCCAAATCGGCCATTCTCAAATACTTGGTCTCTTATGATGAAATCTTTGAGATATTTACGCTGGTTTGGAAGAGCCGTGTAAAAGCAAACATCTCCACTTTCCTCAACTCACAGACGTTGTGGACTTTCTCGTATAGTATTAGCAATCTAACGGATTGTTCGGAAGAGTTGTGCTATGCCTTTGGCGAGAAGGGTCTTCTAACTTTGCTCTTTCACGATCTCAAGACGGGAACTCTCGGCGACAGGCACATCAGTTACGCACTGACGATCATCTACAACTGCTGCTGGAAAGTTTCCGAGAACAGAGTGATATGTCAGGAGTTCGTTGATACCCTCCAGGAGTGTTCACAATCGAAGAACCCAGAGATCCAGGCCGATGCCTTCTTGGCGCTTTCCTACATCGTCGACAAATCAGAAGTTCATAAGATATCCCTGAATGAACCGTGTCTGAAGTTCCTCCTGTTGACACTTAAGTCAGCCATGAGTGAACCAGGTCGCCGGTTTCACGGCTACTCGACACTCGAGGTCCTTCAAGGCCTCAACCAGCTGGCCATCAACGACTGCAACAAGCTTCTCATCGTAAAACTTAGTGGGATAGACGTCCTGGAGCGAATCTTGATGGAAGAAGGATCGAGCAACGAAGAAAAGCGTTGGGCTGCCCGAGGAATATGGCAACTGGCTTTCAAAGAAGAGAACAAAGTCAAGATACACCAACGCACAACACTCCTCAACGGTAAGCGAATGCTTACAATCTTTAAAAATATATGACATATGCTACACTGTCGCTCATATAGTTGGAATATTTTGGTTTTACCCCAATTTATGGAATTATTTTTAAAATAATTTAAAACTAATAGATCTAGATAATAGTATACATTCTCAGATTTTATTGAATAATAATTTGCCAATGTGTGTTTTGCGTGACTGCTAAAGCATGTGTATGCTACTATGCTTATCAACTATACTACCGCCCTTAAGTCATAAATGACAGTAATGAGGATTAATGCCCCACAAATGGGCACTAATAAAGCACATCGACACGGTTTTGATCCTGGGGCCTCACAGTTAGGAGGCCATTGCTTTATCACTGAACCATGATTGTACGCAGCGGGGGTAGGGGGCAGTTTCCATAAATATTTTTTAAAAAACAAAGAAAATGAAATAAATTTTCAATAATTTATTGCGTTTTACCCCGGTCCCCAAAATAAACAAATCCCTCTGGACGGCCATGCATTATGGCTCAAGGCATGGGCACACTTTTGAAAATTTATTGCATTTTCTTAGTTTTTTGTATAGATATTTATGGAAACTGCCCCCTACCCTAGCCCCCGCTGCGTACAATCATGGTTCAGTGATAAAGCAATGGCCTCGTAACTGTGAGGCCCCAGGATCAAAACCGTGTCGATGTGCTTTATTAGTGCCCATTTGTGGGGCATTAATCCTCATTACTGTCATTTATGACTTAAGGGCGGTAGTATAGTTGATAAGCATAGTAGCATACACATGCTTTAGCAGTCACGCAAAACACACATTGGCAAATTATTATTCAATTAAATTTGAGAAAGTATACTTTTATCTAGATCTATTATTTTAAAATTATTTTTAAAGTAATTCCATAAATTGGGGTAAAACAAAAATATTCCAACTATATGAGCGACAGTGTACATACGGTAACAGTTGCTCCGTTCTCAATATATTACAATAACCGAATTCTTAACTTCAGCCCTGGTCCAAAAATTATACCTCGTCCCAAAACTTAATGGCCCGAATTCACAAAGGAGGTTTGTCGACAAACCTTGGTTTTCATACGTCACATGACGCGTTTTACGCATTTTTTACAAACCTGGTTTGTAAAGAACAAAAGGAGGTTTGGCGAAACAAAAGGAGGTTTGAGCTCAAACCTTGCTTTGTGAATTCGGGCCGATATGTTCTTGATATGGAATTTATGAAAAGTCTAAAGTACTTAATTTTTGCTTTAGAATATATTTCATTATAAGGCTACTAATGACTCTCCATATTAGTTAAGTCCAACTTAGAGTTAAGTTCGACTTAGAACCTTTGTGAAACACCCCCAGGTCATGCACCAACGAATGGCGCATGCGCATTCCTCACCCCTAAAATCGGTATGAGCAAACATCAACGGTTTTACCATTCGCGCATGCGCATTACTTACCTCAACATCGGTACGTGCAAACTTCGCCGGTTGTCATGGGTTTTTCCAGTTGTGTTAATTCCAAGAAAAGTCCCCCCCCCCCCCCAAAAAAAAAAAAAAAAAAAAAAAAAAACCAAAAAACAAGAAAACAAAACAAGAAAACAAAACAAGAATTACAAAATCGACGGTTTTCAAAATGGTGTTTGGGATGTGTAAATGAGCTAACTGTCAAAAGCGAATTCCTAATCCAGACCCTACACCTGACGAAATTAGTGGGCCCGGGGCAAATGTTGTCTATGTTTATATTAGAACAGAACCTATATACATGGTTAACTTAGTTTTCTTTATTGTGATGTCAATCAGTCTGTCAAAATAATTAGCGTAACCTTAAAACCCATTTTCAAGATACAACGAGCAATCCAATCTAATTCTTGTTTTATGCTTTTGGTTACCTAAAATGTAGCATATCGACATTTTGTTTGCAACCGCAAGTATTCATCAACGAGTAATTTCAAGAAAAAGTGGATATGTCTACACGACAATATTGTAAAATGATACAAAATTCTTAAAGAAAGGATTAATATTATTCGTTTGTTTTATTTGTTTCCAATATTCTTATGGATAGCGCTGGAGAAGATTAAGGAAACGACTGAAGATTATGATATCAAGGACGCCTGCTCGGGTGCACTCTTCGTCATCAATGACGTGTTGGACATCGATGACGAGTTCAAGGGTCACATCCCTACACGTGGAGATGGTGGTCACAGTTCGGTGAAGAATGAGGTATCGTCTGGTCATGTGGAGGGTCATATTATGATTAGCTACCAGCATGCGAGCCAGGAGCGAATGCTGCAAGTCAAGTGCCATCTTGAAGAATCTGGATACAACGTATGGATGGATGTGGACAAAATGAGTAGGAATTATTATATAACCTTTCTCCTTTGATCATTATCTATTCTCCTTTTTCCAGCGTTGTTGGTTTGTTTCTTTCATTTATTTTTCTTCGTTGACCACTATTATTTTCATTAATCAATTCTCCTTTAACCACTATCCCTTTCTTTCATTCTCCTTTTTTTCATTCACCTCTTTTTATTTTCTATATCTAGTTCAGTTTTGTAGCGTGAGTCTCAAATATAGCCATTCAATTAAGGAGTGATGGCAGTAATGTGTGTTTTGCGTGACTGCTAAGCAAGTGTATGCTACTATGCTTATCAACTAGGGGACCTACCGCCCTTAAGTCATGAATGACAGTAATGAGGATTAATGCCCCACAAAAGGGCACTAATAAAGCACATCGACACGGTTTTGATCCTGGGGCCTCACAGTTACGAGGCCATTGCTTTATCACTGAACCATGATTGTACGCAGCGGGGGCTAGGGTAGGGGGCAGTTTCCATAAATATCTTTTAAAAAAACAAAGAAAATGCAATAAATTTTCAAATATTTTATTGCATTTTACCCCGGTCCCCAACATAAACAAATCCTCTTGAGGGCCATACAGGTGGGTGAAGTTCATGAAAACAAGAACTTCATATAAAAGGGTGGTCTGGGGTACAATCATCTTCATTTCGTGTTCTTACTCTCTCCTTTCATCATTAGATTGGCATAATAATCACAGTAAGTAATACGCTAAGACTCCGCGGGGGGCATGACGTCTCCGCGAGCCTTCGTATTCTAATGTTTTTTAATGAGATCGCCGACCGAAGTTGGTGCAGCTATCTCCTCCTGAACCCTCCCCTCGGGGTACCGGTGCCCGGTGCCAACGTCCGCGGGAGAGTCTACTCTGTGGAATTGGCTATACTCCGCCCGAGGTCCTTCTCCGTGTCGACGTCTAGGGCGAAAACAGACACGATATGCATAATGCATGATATGCGTGACGACATAGATACCTCATGCATATTCAACATTACATCCGTATGAAAGAGACACACGACAGATGACCATTAACTCGCCTAATAAGGCGTAGCAAATTTACGATGCGGGTCGGGCTTAAACCCAAGTAAAGCATCTTTCTATATAATATGCTTTGCAGTAGCTGCACAATCCAGGGAGATACACGACTTCCGGTCGACGTCCAAACTTAGAGACCTATTTCCATCATTATTACCGCGATTTGTATAAAGTTTTCGTGAATGGAGGTATGAAATCAAAGCTTATTTTGTGATTATTACGGCCATGTTTACTGAATTTTTTTCTAAAGGAAAGTTTTCACAAGAAAATCATTGGACTGCCAGTTCAGTCGCAAGCTGCCTTCAGTCAACACACATACAGGACATACAGTGCTGCTGCTGCTGCACTGCTGTCGGCCGGGACTTTGACTGAGCTGAGTGAGCTAGAGTCGAAGAGTATGGGGGGGGGGCCAAGCAGGTCAATATTCGTACAACTATACAACTACACATACGTCTATCCATCCATCGAAGAACCCGTCAATACAACAGCGTGCGGGCCGAAGTGCCATAATTTTGTACACCTATACAGCTTTAAACCTATACGACTCTACGTCTACTCAGCTAGGAGACTAATATTGTCTTATATATATACAGTAAATTACCAGAAAACATTACATAGGGTTATGAATTGTACATTTACATATTAATAATTCAATATCAACCAGACAGAAGTATGTGACTTCATGCATTGCAAAACAGTCAGTTGCGTAATGAGTAAAATCGTTTCGGGGGGGGGGGGGGGGGTGCAGAAAAAATATGCATCACCATGCACCATTCCTACATGTTGCATGCAGGCTCCAGGAAACGTTTTTCAAAGTGGAGGGGGGGGGGAGATCAGTTAGATCGCAACGGGTTGAGTGTATATAGGCGTGGGGTCTACGGGTACGAAGGGGCCATAAACCCCCTAAAGCTCAGGGGTTTTAGGCATTTAATTAGGGTCAGATGAGCATATTTTTAATACTTTATTTGTGACACTGGCAGGTGACTAATTGGCGTGGGGGTCCATACGTAGATTTGCGTAGTGTTGCGTACCAACTACGCTGGCCTACGTTACTATATGCTGAGGGACGCAAACAATTCAAAATGTTTAATTTTTTCGCGTACTTGACTTGACACAGACACAGAAAGTACACCTTTTTACGCAACACTACGCTACTGTACGCCATGCCTACGCAACAGTGCGCTACCCTAAGCCAAATCGACAAAGCAGTAAAAGCTTTCCACACAGCAAGCAACCGTAAGCTACCATAAGCAAACCTGTATGCCAGCCTACGCACAACCTACGCAGGGACTACAGTAAATCAACATTTTTCCATTAATACGCAGCCTTATTGATGCGTAGTCGGTACGCCACACTACGCAGTTCCAGTGTGAAAGAGGCTTAAAGAATAACCACCGGTAGAGCTGGATCGTTTTTTTTTAATGAATGGCAAATAAAGTTCTTTGTGGTTTTAATTTAGAGAGTCCTTGTATATCTATTTACACCCCTCGCCCCCGTCTAGAATCCCGCGGATTTCCGCGGGTCCTGCTAGTATTATTTATAATAATACACACGGTGCTTTTAAAGCGCTTACCACCGAAGTCATTGTCACCAAGGTTATTATCTCTGCCAATCCATGTTAATATGTTATTTCATTTTTTATTAAAGAAACCACACGTCCGTCTTTTTCCTCTTCGTTTTGTAGGCCTTCATCTATTCTTCTTTCATGTCTTTGGTATTTATTAACAGAAGGTGACATACTGGATTCCATGGCCAAGGCAGTCCAGAGAGCTTCGGTCGTACTGGTTTGCATGAGTCATAAATTCAAAGAGAGTCAACACTGCCGTACAGGTGAGAAAAAAATAGCCATGGAGGGGCACCCTTTTTTATACTCATGCCTCAGTGACACCTTTGCGTATCTGGCTTGCGTAATGCTGTGTATTCATGGCAAGCCGTTTAAAAAACTATTTCTTCATGTCAAGAAATGAATTCTTGGTTTCAAGAAATTATTTTCTGTTATAAGGCAATCTTACAAAACAGTCATCTTACAAGACAGGGAAATCTGGTGTGCTGAACATCGGAACCTGGAATGTGAGAACACTGAAGAAAGCAGGGCACTGGAATATACTCCTTGAAGAAGCCCGGAGATTTGATATGGATGTTCTAGGTTTGTGAGAGACACACCTGACTTGCACAGAGACGCTTATAAACAAAGAGGCGTACTCAATCCTTTTATCAAGCAGGAAAGATAAGACGAGTCGGGAGGGAGTCGGCATCATGATTTCCCAACAAATCCTGCATAGCTTGATGAGCTACGAAGCAGTCTCACCAAGGATCATCACAGCGAAATTCAACATAAAAGAAGGGATCATGAATATCATCCAGGTTTACGCCCCTACATCTGTACATAGTGAACAAGAAAGTGACCTTTTCTACGATGCACTCATGTTGCATATCCAGAAGGAGAACATAATTGTCATAGGTGACCTTAATGCGAAAGTAGAAGCAGACCATGGAATATGGGCACCAACTTTGGGCAAGTATGGATTAGGTCAGATCAACAGAAGAGGGGAGAAACTTCTGGAGTTCTGCATGCTACACGGAATGACAGTGTGTAACACCTACTTCCAACACAAAGAATGTAGAAGGGCAACTTGGACATCCATCCCCAGGTGGACATTACAGAAACCAGATAGACTTCATTACCACCAAATTAGACAATTTAAAGACGTTCCAGAACTGCAGATCGTACTGCTCAGCTGACATTGGGTCAGACCACAATCTAGTACTGGCTAATGTGAAGTTCTCACCTACAAAGACCAAGCGAATGAAGAGCCTCCCGAAAAGCTATGATGTGGGTAGACTTAATGACTCTAACATTGTAGAAGCATTCAAAGCCAGGATTGGAGGTGCCTTTGAACCACTACTTCAGCTCCCGGACACAGATGTGGATTAGCTGTGGAAGACATTCAGAGATACAACCAATAATATCTCAGGAAATTGTAGGCTTCAAAAGGTCGAGACGAGTTAAAGGTCTCCCAGAGGAGGTTTGTAAGGCCTGTAAACAAAGGAGAAAAGCCAGAATCCTCATGATGAACAATCCCTCGGCCCACAACAAGAAAAGCTACACAAAACTCAATAAAGCGGTCAAGTATGAAGTGAAGAAGTGGAAGAAGAAAATTCTTGACACGGAGGTGGAATAGATGGAATTAACTCACGCAAAGAACAACAGCCACGAGCTCTTCAAGAAGTTGAAGAAACTATGTGGCCAGAGAGACAAAATGCAACCTGCCGTGAAGAACAAGGACGGCATCTTAAAAACTACTCCCGCAGATGTGTTGAAATGCTAGGAAGTACATTTTAGCATTCACCTTAACACGCAATTTCCTAGGGACGAAAATGCTCTTCTGACCATACCTGACCCACAACCTAAAGATAACCCAAGTGAACCTTTCCCAATTGAAGAAATAGAGACGGCAATAAAGCTATTGAAGAACAACAAGGGCTGCGGGCGGGACAAAATAGCTGCCGAAACTCTAAAGACTGGTGGACAACCAATGAGACAACTCCTGCTCAAAATAATAAATGCCGCATGGTCGGAAGACTGGAGCAAGGGTCTTATCACTCCAGTGTTAAAGAAAGGAGACAAGCTGGATCCATCCAACTACAGAGCTATAACTCTACTCTCCATACCCGGGAAAGTTTTCTGTAGAATGGTCCTCATGAGAATACAGGGAACCATCGAGAATCATCTGACTGAGGAACAATGTGGACAGATGCTGTGTTTGTCGTTAGACAGATCATCGAAAAGGCCAGAGAAAGAAGGATACCAATCCACTTGAACTTTGTTGACTTTAAAGCAGCATTTGATACCATATGGCAAGAAGCTCTCTGGAAATGTCTGCGTTCCATTGGAGTGGACAAGTCCTTAGTTGAACTCATAGAGAGCATGTACAAACAAACCAAATGCTCTGTTATAGTGAATGGAAAGATAACTGAATGGTTTGATGTCATAACTGGGGTAAGACAAGGCTGCCTCCTCTCTCCAAGTCTCTTCAACCTATTCCTGGAATTTGTGATGAAGGACATCCAACAAATAGAACGTGAAATACAGAAGGGTGACATGTGTATCAACAACATTAGATATGCAGATGACACCACCCTGATGGAACTCGTATTTGAAAACCTCCAAATCTCAACAAATGAACTGGAGAAGGCTTATAGAAGATGGGGTATAAAAATCAATGCAACAAAATGCAAAGTCATGACAGAGGATCAACAAGATATTTCACTTAACAACACCAACATTGAGAAAGTGGAAAAAATTGTCTTTCTCGGCAGCATAGTTCCATCCATAGAAGAGGACGTGAAGAGTCTTGGGCATTCGGAAGACTGAAAAGTGCCATCTGGTCCAACCAGGATATTTCTAAGAGACTCAAAGTCAGGATCTTATCCTCCCTATTGCCACATGTGGAGTAGAATACTGGACTCTCCGAAAATCTGATAGAAATATGCTTGAGATATTTGAAATGAGGTGTCTCCGGACCATCCTTGGAGTTCACCTATTGGGCTAGATTAGGAACGAAGAGATCAGACAGAGACTGAACATCCCAAGCACCATATGCGAGGAAATAATTAAACGTCGCTTGAAATGGTTTGGCCATGTTTTACGCATGCCGCATCACCGCCTACAATACCAAGCATTCCAGAATGATTTTGATGGACGCAGACCTCGGGGACGCCCTCCAAAGAGATGGAAGGACCAGGTTCAATGCGAAGTTGGATTACCCACACAAGAGGCAGAGCAACGAGCCCAGGACAGATCAGACTGGAGCATGATTTCTCGCAGGGGAGCAAGGGGACACACCGTCCTATGCACCTAAGTCAAGTCAAGTCAATACTTGGTATCAAGAAATAGGAATAAGTGTTAAAACGGCTTGCCATAAATACGCAGCAATACGCAAGCCAAATAGGAACGAAGGGGGCACCAGACCAACTAGGAGGATGCACATCAGAAGGGAAAGGCCATCAAATATTGGAAGGGGTTTGGGTCGTCAGTATCATCATCTCTTCATGTTACTTCCTATAGTGGCTACCTCTTCCTTTCTCTTTCTCTCTTTCTTTATCTTTTCTTTTTGCTATTCGGAAAGGGATACACTTTTTCTTTCGTTGCTAGAGAACAGGCGTGGTTCTGTAAGAATTATTTAGGATGGGGTCTTCGAGAAGGGGGAGGAGGCTTGATGGGTTCTTGAATTCGTTTTCTACGTGTGCCTCACTCAAAGTCATTCCTAATGAAGAAAAATATGTGGGAAGCTTGCAAAAGATTGGGTGAGCTTGAGTCTCCCAGGTCCCCCTCCCAATCTGGATCCCCCACTTAGATATTCCTGTACTTTACCTTGACTGTGCTGTTTCTTTTGTGTTACGTTATACGTGTATCTATCAGAAGCGACTTACGCCTACACTCTAAAGAAAGACATAATTCCCCTGATGCTTCAGGATCAATTCACACCAGAGGACTGGCTCGGTGCCCTCATGGGAATGAAGAAGTATTACCCTATGTTTTCAGACGATCTCATGAGACAGTGCCTACCCGATCTGGTCTCTGAGCTAAGCGATAGAGGCAAACGTGAGAAACTAGATCTGGTTTTGCCATTGGATGATGAAGTCACAGGTGAGCCTTCTTTGGAAACTCTTCTCTATTCGTCGTACCAGCAGTGTGTTTTTATCATACTTTTTCTGTAATTAACTGATTAGAAAAATTAACATCTAATAGGCCTATGCAGATATTCTTATTTCCTTACAGAAATAGAATGGCCTAAGAATCTAAACGATCTTTTCTAATATCGAAAAACCATTTAAACAATGATTTTCGTCCCAATTCTACATAATAAAACGAGTCTAAATCAGTGTAAGGGATTTCGCATAAGTTTCTCTGGTATACCCTTACCAATTAAAATATATAACACTTCATGACTGTGTCTTACTCCTATCATGCATGCAGGTGCAAGCAATCCAACATCCCATGCTCAAAGGCAACGGGATGGAACAGCGGAAGATGCCGTAGACTGTAGTGGAGGAAACAAAGATGACAAACCAACAGGCAATGGAGACGAGGGGAATTCCCGCTCGCAGACAACGGTAGATCTGGGCAAGTGGGATGAAAAAAAAGCGGGAGAATGGCTGAGATCGTATGGCATTGATACGAGCAAAGATAGTTCAAAGAAGGTAGATGGCACCCGCTTGAAGCAGATCAAGAAACTGCTAAATCTAGCTCCAGAATTTTGCCTGAAGTCTCTGAAAGACGAATTGGGTCTTTGCTTATGGGACGTCCTCGCGCTAGTAGATGCGTTAGAGAAACTCTAAATTTGTAGAGTTTTAGCATCATTCATTAATAGATGCAAATGCAATAGATGTACATGCTGAGAGCATTGCTATGGGAGCAGTGGGGCGAGGAAATGAGCACTGCCTTAGCCATCACAATATTCAAAAAAATGATTCAAAGCAACGAACACTGGGACATAATATTGATGAACAATCCGTTTGATAAAATTATGCATTATATAAACAACTATCAGGACCAACTTGATGAGCAATTAATTAAGCTAATGGGCTGGTATGAGAGGGGTTGTCATATTCTTGTGTGCACTCTAACTGTCATATTCCTTGACGCATTTCTTTCAAATTTTGTATGGAGGCGTATCTTGGTATAATCTACACCGTATCGGGACACCTAAGAAGCTCAGAGGTATTGGGCAATAAATAACGGTCAGATGAGCATATTTTTATACCTTTTTTGTGACACTCGCAGAACACATATAAGTGTTGGGTCCAGAGGGCGGAGCCCCAAGAAGCTCACAGGTTTTATACATTATCGTCAGATATTTTATACCTTATATGTGACACTGGCAGTTCAAAAATTGGCGTGGGGTCCAGGGGCTCCGCCCCCGGAAGCTCATGGGTTTGGGGCAATAAATTACTGTCAGATGAGCATATTTTTATACCTTTTTTTTTTACACTGGCAGGACACAAATTAGTCTTGGGTCCGGAGGGTAGAGCCCCCAGAAGCTTAGGGGTTTTATACATATTCGTCAGATGAGCATATTTTATACCTTATTTGTGACACTGGCAGGTCAAGAATAGGTGTTGGGTCCAAGGGGTGGAGCCCCCAGAAGCTAAGGGGCTTTATACTTTAAACTATCGTCAGATGAGCATATTTTTATACCTTATTTGTGACACTGGCAGGACACAAATTGGTGTTGGGTCCTGGGGGCGGAGCCCCCAGAAGCTCAGGGTTTCTATGCATTAAATTATCGTCAGATGAGCATATTTTATACCTTATTTGTGACACTGGCAGGTCACGAATTTGCGTGGGGTCCAGGGGGCGGAGCCCCCGGAAGCTCAGAGGTTTGGGGCAATACATAACGGTCAGATGAGCAACTATTTGTGTACATTATTTGTGACACTGGCAGGACACAAAGTGGTGTTGGGTCCAGAGGGCGGAGCCCCAAGAAGCTCACAGGTTTTATACATTATCGTCAGATATTTTATACCTTCTATGTGACACTGGCAGTTCAATAATTGGCGTGGGGTCCGGAGGCGGAGCCCCCGGAAGCTCAGGGGTTTGGGGCAATAAATTACTGTCAGATGAGCACGATTTTATACCTTTTTTGCGACACTGGCAGGACACAAATTAGTCTTGGGTCCGGAGGGCAGAGCCCCCAGAAGCTCAGGTGTTTTATACATTGTCGTCAGATGAGCATATTTTATACCTTATTTGTGACACTGGCAGGTCACGAATAGGTGTTGGGTCCAGGGGGTGGAGCCCCCAGAAGCTTAGGGGCTTTATACATTAGATTCTCGTCAGATTAGCATAATTGTATATCTTATTTGTGACACTGGCAGGTCACGAATTGGCGTGGGGTCAAGGGGCGGAGCCCCTGGAAGCTCAGAGGTTTGGGGCAATAAATAACGGTCAGATGAACACTTATTTTTATACATTATTTGTGACACTGGCAGGACACAAATTGATGTTGGGTCCAGGGGGCGGAGCCCCCAGAAGCTCACGGGTTTTATACAGACAGGCGAGCATTCTTCCTCTAAACCACCGATGTTAACGTAGGATAGTTGTATTTCTTTCAATTCATTTTGTTACCTCTTTAAATGTTCTGAATATTTATTATTGTGTATAACCTACCTTTTCAGAGAGAAAGCGGAGGCAGGAGAATGGAGGTTTACCTTATGTGCCAAAGTATAAAACAGAATATTTTAAACATTGCCTTTCGTGTCTTCATTAATAACACGGAATCAGTACGATAAATCATTGAGAAAAAAACATGGCCACAAAAAAATGATGATTATTCTTCACCTGGTTGACAAACTGATTACCATCTATAAATGTAATACGATAGCATCATTACGAGGATATCCAATAATGTGTACACGTATTCTGATTAACTTCTGTTGTGTTTGTTCTATCATAAGTTTATATTCATGGTTGTTATTGAACTCTGTTGTTACTTAACAGGGCCTCATGGGAGACTACCACTATCATGTTGAAAATGTGCTATCCTATACAAATATCAGAAATAAATGAATACATAAATACTATCAACTAATGTAAAGACACAGAGGAAGGTAAGGCAAGATGGGAAAGGATTATACAAAAACTCTTTTAAACGTCAATAAATAAGAAGAACTGACTAACATAGGATTTCCCGGCCAAATTCGCGAGTTTGTCATTCAAATTAAATTGTCTTGCGTTCAAATTCAACGGTTTTAGTGCAGTCAGGTATATCTCGGGTTTATATTCCCTTTTCTAGTTTTCAAATCTATGGAATTTTTGTTGGAATCTAGGTATGTTTCATTCAAATTAATGAACAATGTGCTTCTTTCACTATTTGGTCATTCGATTTGGCGCAACACGATTTTCTGACAACGCGACGGTGTACCTTTAGCATTCTAATTCATTTGCAGCATTCAAATTAGCACTTTGTACACTTAAATTGATGGTTAATATACATTTCTCGTTTATTACACACTTTTTATAGAACATTCTTTTTCTTTCAAGATTTTTTTTCATGTGTATTTCATCATATTTCATTTTCTTGCATTTATACACTTATACTTATTAGATTTATCTGATATTCATCAGCATTTAAGTTTGATTGTTAAGAAGAAGAAAACGACTTGCATACAGACCTGATGGTCTCAGTATATTTGTAAATGCTCATGTAAGGAAGTTGTTTGTCTTATGTTTCATCATAAATTTATCATAATTTCATCATAATTTCATTATGGAAGAAGGGTACAATATTGTGACTGGGGTAGGGACTAGAGTCAATAATTTGAACATGATTCATTATTTAGCCATGTCTTTAGCCATCGATCTGCTGGCGGGCAAGTAAACTATGAAACTCTTTAAGAACAACAGAGGGGTACGTGTCCTGGGTATAAGAGACGATGTAAATTACTTTTTGTAAAATTCCGAGTCTGTAGTAAAAAGGGGCGATTGAGGGTACCCCCACCATTCCCGGGTATATGAACATGTCCGTGCAGAAATGCCCCTTCTTTACTTTACGTCTGACTACACCCATCTGCATTGTCCTGAAAATAAATAAATGGAATAACAGCTTAGACCGCAATGGCAAATCATGCATTTTAACTGCATTATTTAAAAACTGTAAAAGTTTGTTGCAATTCTTCCCCCTAACATTCCTAACTTGAATAAAAATATTACGAATACGAATGACAGGTGTTAATTTGAATGATAAAAATTACGCTTCGACAAGTAAATATTAATTTGAATGCTGGTTGAGCAGTTTCTAAATTGAATGACAGATCTATATAACCCTTCGACCAAAATTCTAAATTAAATACAAAAACTGGAAAATTGAATGATAATTGGCATGGCAAAGCCGATTTGCGCTTATTTAAATTATGGACTTAATACGGATGGACATTCAACGTGATTCTTTCTTTGATCCAATCATAGTCGCCACCTTCTAATTATGTGCATCTTAATGAGAACATTCAGCTGTTTTAACAATAACGACTGCGTAAGCATTTTCGGTCATTGACAAAGGAGCAGTTTCCCTCTCTTGGGTTTTGTTTGGATGGTGTGCTCTGTAAGAGAGTGTCTTAAATTAAAGCATCCTCAATGGGGAGCAGCAAAGTTGAAAAGCAGACGATTTAGGTGATATGAAATGTATTATTACTGATTCGCAAACTTTCGCACACACCTATGACCTTATAAATCAATTAGAAGGCAATGATCTGTATCAGCCCTGTGCGTTGTAACTCTGGAATATTATGAGGAAATAGGGGAAACGGGATTTTAAATCACAACCCAAAAATCCAAAAATCTGGTAATATCAACATGTTTTTCAAAAAAAATACATGTACAGTACACGGAACAACAGTTTCCGATTATAAGCCAGAACTGCACATCTATTTTCCATGATTTAGGCGAGTAATTATCTTCTGCGCATGTAGATTAACATGTGTAAAATCACTATCTTGATTCTGTCCCGGCTTTTTGCCGGCGACCATGATGAGACCAAAGGGAAGAAACATGTACGGAATGTTATTGAGACGACATTGACGGAGACAATCACAATGAATGTCCATCCGTAATAGGTCCATGCTTAAATGCAAAGTAAATGAATAGGCCATTTTCGTATTGTAACCAAATTTAATGCATAGGTCTTTGTGAAGTGCCTCAATACAAATTATTTCATTCACCTGATAGGAATAATAGTATTTTAATAGTCAGAATAATGAAAACGAATTCGTTTGATAAAATTATGGAAATGCAAGCACTACTTTAAACAAACAGAACTTTGTCATTCCTTGCTCATTTTTCCTGATTGAGGTGTCATATGAAAGGGCAGAATCTCAACTTTCTAGAAATGTGATTTTCTCTTTGAAATCCAGACACCGTCCGCCAAATGACTTTTTTGGTTTCCTCTCTTCAAATTCATTTTAATCATTAATGCGTGAAATATTCATCTTATGAGTTGCATCAAACGAAAGAAGAGGATCTAAGCTTTCCAATTATTTGTCATTTAGTAATTATAAATGTGACAAAGTTATGATAACCCAATGCTCGGTTTCGTTTTATTCTGGGACGCACTGTATAGCGTATATCACAAAAATAAATTTTAGTCCCTATGCGCTAAACATAGACAAAGGCTATTTGGTGAAAACCTTACTACTAAAGTGGTTTTTAGTTGCGAATTAAAAAAAAATCACCCATAAATATTAACATTTTAGTTTGTTAGAAATGTGATAATGATGGTAACGCTGTGGCCTTTAATACTGTAACTTGTTTAACATTATTATATGAAGTAAAGTGACACAGCTAAAATGCTATACAAGTAATAAATCGTTTTTTTAAACATCGACTTTAAAATGTGTAGATAAATAAATGTTTTTACAAAACGTTTTGACGGGAACAGCATGATCTTTAGATCGCTATAATTTAAATCAATCGATTTTGGTGCTTTTTTGCGTACTGTCTGTATCATGCATAAATGAACAATGTTTCGTTAGTCATATTTATAAACAAAAATTGTACATCGGAAAACGTGATAGTCACCACAAAAGCAAGACAGGTCAATACTCGATCTATATCGCTTTGATGATAATACGCTCACTTTTCAATAAGATTCATTCAGATTCATTCAGATTCAGATTAATTTTATTGGTCCTTTTGGAAATTCAGTTGTTGGCATTACATAAAGCACATGAATAAAATACAATAGAAAATAATATACACAAATATGATAATACACAGTAGCAAACGTACAATGACATATTCCACAATGACAAGGCATCCACTGGGAGCTGTCTCCCACATTCTAACTCT